GATAAAGTTACTTCACGAGTGAAAATCATTGGTGCAAGTTTCAGGCTCTGATACGGCAAGTAAAAACATAAACATTCATGCAAATAAAGAAATTAATATATTTACATACCAGGAATTTAAACGAGCGTATTTGAGGCAGCAAACGAAATCAATCTCCCTTTGCCCTATCTTACACTACTGTAACTTTCGTGATTGAATTGAGTCGAGGTTTTAACCCTAATGAATAGATAATGACCAATTTAAAGGATTCTACTGAAAATGTTATTGTTTTTGTTGCCCAACATATAATCTAATGAAATTGTGTAATCTATTAAATTATTAAAATAAAATAAAAATTATACGGAACAACTAATTTATGATATGCAACTATCATATTAGTAATACTGCTAGTGAATGCTTAAAATAATTACTATTTATAGGTAATATTTTTATTTCATAGAAAATAGAAAATACACACAACTATCTAATATTTGGTTTTAATATTAGGCATTTCTAGGCTAATCTTCATTTGCTCAGATAAATCGCGAATTATCCAAAAGAGGATAACTATTTGATAGTTTTTTATTAGTTTTTCATGTATAAGTGTATTTGTTTCATTGATTTTTCTTCTATTTAATCTCAAGCATTGTTACGGATGGTAATTGTGCGAATTAGATCAATTTTAGTCAATCATATTGTGTCAAGATAACAAACGGTTCAAGATCCAATTCAAAATGAATTAATTGGATCAATATGAATTGAGCCAAAAAAGAGCAGATAATGAGTCAAGACCCAACTCAACTCAATTTTCACCCAATTTAATTAATTTATTTGTTCTTTTAAAATATTTTAGTACACAATAACATTATTAATAAAATTATTTTATGGATATATGTAAAGAATTATACTACACAACCTCCTACTTTTTCATTAGAGATGACAATGGGGCGGTGTAGGGCGGGGGGGGGTGGGTTGAGCTTAACCCACAAACTTTTTAATCCGCCCCGCCCCGTACTGCAAAAATTTTCATTTTCAACCAGCCCTGCCCCGCCCTACCCCACATACACTTGTTCGGCATGAACTCGCCCTGCATAATTTTCATAATATTTTCTTTTTTCTTTGTTATGTTTGATACTAAAAATAAAATTCATAAAAAAAAGTCATTTTTCCTTAAGTTTTATTAATTTAATAGGATAGTGACTTTAAATTTTATTTTTAAGAGGTCAATTGAGAATCATGCAAGAAATTATATTATTTTTTATGAACCATCTTCCTTTATAATCTTGAATATTTTAGTAGCTTTAATGAATTTATCTTAATAAATAATGTTCTGTGATTCTATGACATGTAAGAAGTTAAAATTATGTTTGAACCCACATAAAATCACATATACCCGCAGCCCACCCTGACCCACATTAATTAAAAAGAAATCCATTTCAACCCACTCCGCTTCAGACCTGCCCCACATAACATTAAGCCCGCCCCGCCTCACATACCCTTAAACCTATCCTGCCCCGCATCCGGTTCGCCTTATTGCCATTCTTATATTTCACGGTCGTCTAAAAAAATGGTAATCAAATTTGTGAATATAAATGCCTTACAATGTATAAAATCATTTATGTTGAAAAAATTAAAATTTATATATAAACAAACAAAAAACACTCTTATATATATCATATAAAAATTTTGTCAAGAAAATTCAAATGAAAATACCTTCGCCCCTTCTAGATTCACCCTTGCATAAAAGTGGCTAAAATGCAGGAATTTTGTGTCAAATTATACTGAAAAAATGATATCTCTTGGTATATTCTAGATCTCTTATATATAAAAATGACGATTTTTTTTATTAAAAAAGGTCACAAAATCCGAAAATTGAATTTGTAACTGACCTATTAAATGAAGTTTAACTATTTTGAGGTGTTAAACGTTACATGTAAAAAATTATTTCCATTAGAAAGTCTTTTCGTAGTCCTATATTAAATGTACACTTTATTATAGATAATTATATCAATCATTTGGAACTCATTATTCTTAAAATTATTACTTTTTTAATTTTGTAAATTAATCAAGTTTGTAAACCTTCAAAAAAAATTCTTTAAGTGCAAATTAATGAAATTTATCATTTTTATTTATCATTTTTTATAATGATAAAATAAATAACCAAATAAAAATAAAAAATACATATTTTATCACTAAATTTTTTTGTAAATTTATAATCACATTAATCTATAATTCTATTACATGTCACATTCCAATTTTCTGTTTATTTTTAAATTTTTTTATGTCGAATTAAATGGTATCACGTAAATTGATACGGACAAGACAATACAACTAAGGAACCAACATAATTAATTGGTGGGTAATTGCCCCCACCACCCACCCCACTCACCCCACTCCATATTACAAGTTTGTAAAATTTAATTTATGAAGAAAACTTATCTCCCCCTTTCCTTCTTTAGTTCCCACTTTCACTCCGTGGTGATGAAATTGAAGACTTCAAAATCATACAAATTTGTGTTCAGCAGATGAAGGATAAGGTGTGCGCAAAATGGTATTTGATACTTTTCTAACTTTTTTGGATGTTTACAATAGTAACTTTAGTTGTTGATAAGCTTAAAATTTTCTTTCTCTTTTTGTTTAAAAATCAAATCTTTCTCATTTGGGTGTTGTTAATTTTGTGAAATAGAAGCCCTATCTTCCACTTTGTACTTTTTTTTTGTGGTAGATGTTAGTTTTCTTGGGATTTTGGAACGTAGAAAGAACCCTATTTTCCCTTATTTTTTTGTTGTTTTTTAGATGTTGGTTTTATTGCATAACATTTCTTTTAAGTCGAGGGGCTATCGAAAATCAACTCTGAAACACCACAAACAAAGTTAGGAGTAAAATGTTGTGTACATGCTATCCTTTCTAGAACTTTGGAAACTTAACTTTCTATCTGGTTAAGGAACTAGTCCAAGTTATACCAATATGTATATATATTAAACATGATCCTTCCTCACCTATGAAGAGAAACTCGAGAAGTATCACCCAATTTGGGATTCGTGAGTTGATATTTATTTCGAAGTTATGTTATGTGTTGAATTTCCTTAGGAGAGGTTGAAACATTGAGTGGAAACTTGCTTTCTGTCTGGTTAGTAGAGATTTCTTGCTTGTTAAGATATTAGTCCATGTAAGAACGAGAAGTATGTTGTACATGTTCCTTTCTTCAGAAGATGCATCATCCAATTTGGGATTCTTGAGTTGATGTAAATTTCGAAGTTATGTTGTGTGTCAATTCTCTTAGGCGAGCTTGAAGTATTGAATGGAAACTTACTTTTTGTACGGTTAGTAGGAATTTCTTGTTTTCTAAGGGATTTGTCTAAGTTAGACCGACAAGTATATATATGTTGGACATGATCTTCGAGTTTCGTATTCAGAGATGAAGAAGGATCATGTCCAACATATATACTTGTCCGTTTAACCAAGACTAATTCCTTAAGCAAACAAAAATTCTTACTAACTGTACAAAAATTAGATTTCCATTCAATACTTTAAGCTCGCCAAGAGAATTCAACACACAACATAACTTCGAGATAAACATCAACTCATGAATCCCAAATTGGGTGATTCTTCTCGAGTCTTCTTCACAAATGAGGAAGCATCATGTCTAACATATATACTTCTCGGTCTCACTTGGACTAATTCCTTAGAAGAAATGAAATTTCTACTAGCTAGACAGAAAGTAAGTTTCCACTTAATGAGTCAAGCTCACCCAAGGAAATTTAACACACAACATAACTTTGAAATAAACATCAATCAAGAATCCCAAATTGGGTGATGATTCTTCGAGTTTCGTCTTCATAGATAAGGAATGAGTATGTCCATCATACTTCTCGGTATAACTTGGAGTTATTCTTTAATAAGCAAGAAATTCCTAAAAGTAATTTAAATTTCACTCTCTTCTAATAGTACATCATAAAACTTAACTGTCCTCAGGTGATTAAATGTGATATTCGAGAAACTTGCATGAATCTCATCAATAAACTCATAGGGCACAAGTTCTAAATAATCCCCATCACTAAGGATACATAATCATTCTTATTGTAGCATAAATGTTTGGGGTCATATATTCCAAAAAGGTTAACTGAAATAGTAGTATTTGTTGTAAAAGTGTTAAATTTATAGTCAAACATTTGTACTAAAATTAATACAAGTACTATTTTTATATGTACTATCAAACGACTCCTTTAGTGTTGAAAAAAGGGTCAAGTATTATCTATTGATTTATAATGTTGCATAAACACATGTCATTCATATAGTGTTTTCGTGTAAACACTCACTACTATAAATTTGCAGTACAATAAGTATCGCATCACTAATTTGAACTTCTGGGTTCTCTTCAAATTCTATACAAAAATACTTTATATGTGTTTACTTTAACCTAATCCAAACAATTTTACATCAAGAGTTGCAAATTAGAGAAATTAATGCAAGTGTCATCTACGAATTATACATTTTTTCTTTTATTGTTAAAGTTGTGACATATTTATTTGTTGTTCGTGTCACATATACTCTGTCCTTACAAATAGTATTCTTTTTCAATTTCAACAAATTATCATGCCTCTAGATGAACAAAGAGTATGTTTACCTTCTCTTGATCGACTTAGCAATCTTGCCATTCATTTAATTGATGACATTTTAAATAGGTTGTCTTTTCAAGATTTATAAGAACTAGTACACTTTCTAAGGATTGGCAATATACTTGCTCAAAAATTCCACAAGTTAAATTTGATCAAAAGGTATGCGAAACAGCAGAGGACTTGACATCCCCTATCATTGGATTTATTCCTATTCTTGATTGTTTCCTCTGGTTTCATATAGGAATAACATTGAAAGTTATCCTCGACTTTAATAGTCTAAAAGTATGTCCTAAATAAAAATTTTTGATCTAACTTGGACTAATCCCTTAACAGGAAAGAAGTTCCTACTAACCAAAAAGTGAGTTTCCCTGAGAGAACTCAACAAATAACATAACTTTGCAATAAACAACCAAAGACTCAAATCATATATCATTTAAGAGCATCCATGAAATGTAAAAACCATCTCTGTTCCCAAACAGAGTATACAAAACATATACAATTCTATGCTTCCAAGCAGATAAAATCTTTATAGTACCTTAAAGCGAAGGCAAAACACAGTCTTGTTACTCCATCAACCAAATGTCTCGTTTCTGTTTGTACTTCAAAAATATTTTAACCAAAGATTAGGAAGGATTGTGATAACGATACTAATAAAAAAGATACACAACTTCTGCTTTAGATGGTGCCTGTTAAAACTTTGTTATCTCCGCGAGTAAGTTGAGAGATTTGATAGTTTCCATTTGACGAGGCTTGATTACCATTTTCACCAATGTTGGAGGCTTTGCCAATAAAACCTTGATAAGCTGTATTTCAACCTCTTCTAATGGTATATCATAAAACTTAACTGTCCTTAGATGATTAAATGTGATATCCGAAAAGCTTGGAAGAATCTCATCAACAACCTCCTGGGACACAGATTCGAAATAATCTCCATCACTAAAGAAAAATTCCTAAGAAAAAGGAATAAGAAAACCATCAAGTCATTACATACGAATATAAAATAATGGAAAAGCTAGAGAGAAAAATAAACATTAGTGACAACCTTAATTTCAATTTCTTCCAAATTTGGAGAGCTCTTTATAATGCAAAGAGCAAACGAAAGCTTAAAAAACTCTCCAAGAGTAATCCAAGACATGAATAGGCATTTCAGACAGTTAAGAACTGATGGAAGCCTTGTTGGTATAACTTTAGTTGTTCCATTATCGAACTACGAATAAAATGACAAAAATAAGGATGACTGAAATTCCAAAAAAAAGTACACATGAAAATGCATTACTATTAAGTAAAATGAAGAATTATTACCTCAAAAAGATCCATGCTGAAACACTGGAGAGCAACAATAGACGAAAAAATATTGACAAAATCATCTTCGTCCTCTAGAACTAATTCTCTAGGCGCATACAGAACATTGGAAAGAACAGGGACATTTTCAAGATGTATCAATTGTATATCGCCACGAAAGACAAATGACCTTAGCTTAAGAGAATTACTAATAATGAGGTACGAATTGTCTGTGTCTTTTAGCACCAAATCCTCAAGCAACGGGCAATTAGAGATCAAATTTTCAAACGTATCAGAAGATAACGATACAGATTTCAATATTAGCCTAATCAACTTATTAAATCCCTTAAAGAAACATGAAAGTTGTATTTCACATCCCATGAGATAGAAATGCCTCAATGCTGAACAATAAAAAAGAAGTTGGGCAACCTAAATGGAGGATAAGTAAATGGAATTTCAAGGACAAAATGTTGAATGTGATCAATGTCGAGGGAAAAAATTAGACGATCAACATTAGGACACATTATTAGACTAATAATATTGAGGGTGACCTTCAATATTATTCCTCTATGAAACCTGAGCAAACTATCAAGAATCGGAATAAATCCAATGGCAGGGGATGTCAAGTCCTCGGGTGTTTTCCACACTGTTTGATAAAATTTCACATGTGGAATTCTCTAGAAATTATATTGCCAGTCCTTTGAAAGTGTACTAACTCTTACAACATCTCGAAAAGACAACCTACTTAGAATGTCATCGATTAAATGAATGTTAAGGTTGTTAAGTCGATCAGGAGAAGGTAAACTAAGTCTTTGTTCATCCGGAGGCATGATAATCTGTAGAAGATAAACAAAAGTACGATAGGTAAGGTCAATGTACAAGCTACACGAACAACAAACAAGCATGTCATAACTCTAAGATTAAAATAAAAGGTGCATAATAGGAGTAAAATGAACCTTTTTCCATGTTTAAAAAATGCAAAAGAAATTATTTGTAGCTGACATTTGCATTGATTTCTTTAATCTGCAACTCTTGATGTAAATTTGTTTGTCTTAGGTTAAATCAAACACATATAAAGTATTTTTGTATAGAATTTGAAAAAAACTTAGACGTTTAAATTAGTGACGTTATACTTATTGTAGTAGAAATTTATAGTTTCATTACTTTAAAAGTAAAAGACTTCTAATAATCATTAGGTCAAGTGTTTTCGGTTGCTGTCCAATTATCACATAAATGTGAAACAATTGTTGCTAACACGAGCCCTCATGATCATCTCACAATTAAAACCGTTTGTACTTTAGCCAACGAATAAAAGCTCTTCAAGTTTTATATGATTCGTTCTTTTTTCGATAAAAATTTTTCCAACCACGAATCTTATATACAATTGAACATACATATAATTAGGTTATGTATAAAGATTTAAGTATGATTCTAATATTAATTGTTGGAAAACTATATGCAAATTTCTTATATTAATAGTAGACAAAACATAGTTTATGTTAGAAAATATACAATCATTATAGAGCACATAAATTTTCTAAAATTTAATTGAAGTCACCTCTTGAAGCGTGACGAGGTACCTTCAAGTGAACCCACACATTAATCGACAACCTAGAAACTTCAATTGAATCCAAATCTTCTCTACAAATTGGACAACATTTTAGCGATCTTCGATAGTGATTTCAAATTTACTTACAATTCTCTCAATTCTTGGGCGAACAAGTATTATGTAGAAGACTTATCTCTTTTTTTAAGGGTTAGAAGAATTCCTATTTGTAGAGATTTTTTCCTAGTTCAAGGAGGAAAGAATATAGCATGTCTTTCCTTAGAATAGAAGAAGACATGTACTTCTCCATTTTATTAGAATAGAAAAACATACGTACTTCTCCCTTTACTTAGAATTCTCACTTTCCTTTGAAAAGAGAAAGACAGATACTTCTCTCTTTCCTTATAATAGAGAAAAACACATACTTCTTCTTTTTCCCCTTTGAATAGATTATATGTTCTAGTTAAATATGGGCACAACAAGGACCAGAAAGACACATGCTTCTTCCTTTTCCCCTTTCAACAGATTCTATGCTCTAGTTAAATATGGGCAAGGTAGGAACTATAAAATTAACTACTGAGACATTAGATTATGGAAATAATTCCAACTAATTAGATTGAATTATTCTTACCGTAACAGATTAAACAGAGAAGGTCTAAAATGACCCTTATGTATTTGAATTTGTACAAAACTACCCTTCATCCACTTATCGGCCCTAAAATACCCATAACGTCTACCTTTAGACTCAAAAAAATACCCTCGATGTTAACCTTTTGACTCATATATACCTTATTTTTAATAGCTCCCTTAAAGTAAAATTATTAAAAATTTATTTATTAGATTCCTCAATGTGATTTCTCCAAATTTAAACCCTTCTCAAATATGTAATTAAAATTCTATTTTAAAAAAATTACTTATCATTCACATTTTGACCCGATAGACTTGCAAATAATATTGATTTTTGTTCATGATAACTTCTTGTTGGACTATTTTAAATCAACCCCAATTTATTATAACATAACTCAACTCATAATTGGAGATCCAACTAAAATCTATACTTACCCAGACTTAGTGTCCATTTTAAAATATTTTTATTCTCATTCATATAAAATTTTATTTCAATTATCCAAATGTCTTGTTTATTTTATTTTTCTCCTTTTTTTAATCTATTATTCTTAATTAGGATATTTGGGACTCAAACTTGAAATGAAGTCACATGTTTATATTCTTTTAATTAGTATTAATCTCATCATGGGATGAGGGTGGGGATAAAAGAAATGATTATATTTGTTCTTTCATTTCAAATTTTGGGTATACAAAAATGTGATATTTGTATATATTTGCTTGATTAAGTAATCCTTTATTGAAATTATTATTTCTAGATGAATGCATCATTATTTTCCTCCCTTTTTTCTCTCGTTTGATATAAATTTTAAAAAATAAAAATAAGAGATAAGACCCAAATAGAAAGAGAATTGGAAGAACTAGGAAGTGAAGGGCCGGAAAGGACTAGTTTCGAGAGTAGATGCCTAACCTCTTTTATAATTTTAATTTTCGTTTATGAAAAAAATATAATAAAGAATAAAAATGACGAAGTTTCAAAAAGTCAATTAATCTTATGATTTGAGAGAAAACGATTTTCCGAATTAACAGAGTTGCCACTTAATATATAAAAAATTTCAAGAAAAAACTTTATAATTATTTTTCAAAAGATTTAAACAGATAAATTCATTTGAAAAAAATTCAATGTTCAAATGTACATTTCGAGAAGGTGTTAGGCCCACGGAATGCTCCCTAACTCACAGTTGACCGGCGATTTGACTAAAAGACTTTTAAAAAAAAATGCCCAATTTTTAGTAAGTTAAGTAAATTCAAATCTTTTACTTATTTTACTTATTTTATACAAATAATATTAGAAGAAGATTTTGCAGTAGATTTGGCTATAGAAAAAGCTAATGTAATAAGTAAAAACAATAAGAATAGATTATTTACATGCAAAAGATGTAAATTAAAAGACTTAAATTTAGAACAAACAATATCTCATTTTAAAATATGTGAACAAAGAATCAATAATAAAGGATATAGATTAGAAAAAAGTTTACAAGATAAATTAGAAAAAGCTAATAATATAATGACAGAAATATAAGAAAATGATAGTGAAATATCTAAGTTAGAATCTATACTAAGTAAAAAAGAATTAATGGAAACAGCAAGTTCTAGTAGTCCATTACAAAGAACAAATGAACAAGGATATACTGCAGATAATAGCACAGGAAATATACCACGTAGAAGAGTATATAGACAAGGAGATACTCCAATAACAGAAGTTAAACCTATGGGAAAAAGAATGCCTATAGAAGAACCAATAATACTCCAAGAAGGAGGAAGTAAAGGAAAAATTTTAAATATAGCGGCACATGATCCACAAAGATGGAATTCAGTAAGAGACTTATGGAAAGGAATAGTAGTAGCAAATTTTATAAAAAAAAAATATACAGAAACTAATGCTGAAACGATGTATAAATACTTAGAAACATTCCTAGGAGAATCAACCAAAGCTCTATGGGAAGCTTATAAAGTAGAATTCCCATCAGAATTTCAGTATTTAGTATCATTAGGACCAAACCCTTATAATTTTACAAATGAAATACATACTTTAATAACAGGAGAAGACCCAAACAGTGGATTAGTAGCCTTACAACGAAATGCAGTAATAAAACTAGAACAATTAAGTATAAGTAATTGGTATTATATAAAGAAATTATTAAATGATTATTTCTATTATTGTACAATTAGTGGAAATGCTTTTGACCAAGATTTAGGTAAAAAAATTATTTAACAAACTACCACGAGCTTTAGGAAGAGAAATAGAAGAAAGATGGATTAAAAGAGGAGTAGCACAAAACCCTCAAGCAAAGTGGTCAATAGGACATAGAATACAACATATAATGGAAATATTACAAGAAAAATGTACTAATTTACAAATACAAAAACAATTAAAGAAAAATGAAATGAATTTCTGTAAAGATATAATATATACAACCCAAAATTATGATAAAAATCAATATAAAAAGAAAAAGTATAAAAAATATAACCCACAAAACAATAAGAGATATAATAAAAAAGGATATTTTCTTAGAAAATTTTCAGCAAGAAAACAATATTTGAATAGAGATAGACATGTTAGAAAATATAGAACAGATATAAATTATAAAAATAAGTTAGAATGTTTTACATGTGGAAGTATAGAACATCTAGCAAAGACTTGTCCTAAAAGATATAATGCTAAGACTAGAAATGCTCAATTAGTAGAAGAATTTAACAAATCATTATTAAATGTAGATGAATACATGTCAGATAATGAAAGCATCTACTCTATAATAAGTAGTGATATAGATGAGACTAACAAAGAAGAAGATTTCTTCCAATTCAGAAGGAGAAGAATTAATTAATGATATAGGAATAGAAAATTTATATGTAGATGACTTAAAAATTAATTTTATGAATATAATAGAATGTGAACATAATTTTGAAAAAGATACAGGATTAAACAGCAATCCATGTAATTGGTGCAAATGGTATTCAAGTAAATATAAAAGAGCTAAATGTATTAAATGCTTTAAAGAAGGATGTATAAGTTGTATAGAAACACAATTGGAAATAATAACTCAAAAAAGAAAAGAGGTACATACAAATGAACCTCTAATAAATTTAAAAGTATTAGTATTGGAAGCAAAAGTTAAAGAATTAGAAAAAAGAATAGTAAGATTAGAAAATGGAAAAAATGTTGAACAAGAACTACCACTAGAAAATCAAGAATTAATGAATGAAGAATCTAATACTTTAATATGTAATGAAGATAAAAATATAAATACTGTTAAAATATTAGCAAACTTCAAATTGAAAAATATGAAATAGAGACTTTAGCATTAATAGATTCAGAATGCAACAAAAGTATTTTAAATAAAAAAATTGTACCTCTAGATTTAATAAAAACTTTAGAAAAACCACTTGCAGCTATGCAAATGGATGGAACACATAATATATATAGATACTACATAGATAAAACACAAATAAGTTTTTTAAATACTTGTTCAAAATTCTATAAACCTACCTATAAGATGGATAAGATATGGGTAAGAGATTTAGATATAAGAGTAGATTTTGTGTTGGGATTAGATTTCATACTATACAATAAAGGAGGAACTTTAATAACAAAAGATGGGATACTTTTTATGTAAAACATTACTTACACTTCTGTCTTAACTAATAAAATTAATACTAAAATAAGACATAAAGAAAAATGTTGTGAGAATTGTGAAAATAACACACAATGTACTAAGACATAATGCAATACATTATATGAGAATATACTAGAGATAGATAAAGAAGATGAAATATTTGATAAAAACTATGTTCTAATAGAAATAGAAATAAAATTATATAAATTTAAGACAAAAATTCAGCAAATAGGACAAATAAAGAACCAACGAAATCTTGATAATAATAGTAAAATTATTAGATCAAATAGAAATAAAAGGAGAAAACCTTTAAAACATTGGGAGAATAATCACATAATATGCAAGTTAGATATAATAAACCTAGAATATATAATAAAAACAACCTCAATAGAAGCTACAAATCAAGATTAAGAAGATTTTAAAATACAAATTGAAGAACTAATAGAATTAGGAGTAATAAGAAGATATACTTCAAAACATAGATCTGCAGAATTTATGGTAAGAAATCATAGTGAAATAATTAGAGGAAAAGCTAGAATGGTTATAAATTACAAAAGACTAAATGATAATACTAGAACAGACGGTTAAAAATTACCAGACAAAACAGAATTAATAAATAGAATCCAAGGAAAAACAATTTTTAGCAAATTTGATTGTAAGTCAGGATATTGGCAGATAAAAATGCATCCAGATAGTATAGAATGGACAGGTTTTACCTGTCCTGAAGGACATTTTGAATGGTTAGTTATGCCATTTGGGTTAAAAATCGCACCTCCAATTTTCCAAAGAAAAATGGATCAAATATTTGGAGAATATAAAAAAATTATTTTAGTATATGTAGATGATATTTTAGTATTTAGTAAAGCTATAAAAGAACAATTAGGAAATTTACAAACAGTTTTTAGGCTATTTGTTAGTAATGGAATAATAAATAGCAAAAAGAAAATAAAATTATATAAAAACTATATAAACTTTTTAGGAATTACTTTAGGAGAATGAAAGGTTAAACTACAACCTCATATAGCTAAAAATGCTCTAGACATGCCAGATAAATTAAATAATTTAAAAGATTTACAAAAATTCCTAGGTATAATTAATTATGCAAGACCATTTATTACGAATTTAGAAAAAATGGCAGGACCATTATACTCTAAGACAGGAACTAAAGGACAAAGAAATTTTAATATTGAAGACATAAAACTAGTACCAAAAATAAAAGAAAAAATAAAAAATATTCTCGATTTTAATATGCCATTAGAATCAGACTATTTAATAATAGAGACAGATGGAAGTTTTGAGGGATGTGGTGCAATATTAAAATCAAGACCACATAAATACTGTTCTAAACAAGAAGAAAAAATATGTTCTTACCAAAGTGGAAAATTCAAAGAAAAGGGTAATAAAGCTAGTATAGATGTTGAAATTTTAGCTGTAATATATGGTTTAAATAGTTTTAGAATTTATATTCTAAATAAACCAGAAATATTAATAAGAACAGATTGTGAAGCTATAGTAAAATTCCATCAAAAAATTAATGATAAAACTAGTAGTAGAAGACGATGGCTAAATTTTTTAGATACTATATCAATTTATCATTCTATAATTTTTGAGCATATCAAGGGAAATGATAATAGTATTGCAGATCAACTAAGTAGATTACTAATCAAAGTTTAAATTTTCCAGAATGAGACAACTACTACCAGACAAAGGTAAAAGGGTTCAACCTTCAAACTCAGATTTTGCAAACTCTTACAAACAGACAATGTTATCAAATTTTCATTTTAAACTTCTAGATAAAATTGATGATGTTATAATAGAAAGACTGCAGTTTAGACAACAAAACTTAATAGCATACGAGCCGTCTAACTGGACATTCAGACACTTATCTAACTCTCAACTAGATAAACAGCAAACATGCCTTATAGATAATATATGAATAACACATAATAAAAAAGACACTAAATATGTAAATATTGTTTTAAATGCTTTAGGATATTATTTTACTAGCAAAAATAAAGAAAATAGATTTAAATATTATGTGGTAATTCATGGTAAAACAAATAGTGTTTTTCAGACATGGATAGAAGTTTTAAGACTCTATTAAAGGTTTTCAAAAACCCCTTTTTAAAGGTTTTAATGATTTTACAGAAGCTTTAGACTATGCTAGAGGGATATTAGGGCCAAATTACTATATTTCTCCAGCCCTTAGACAAAACCCAGATAAAACTCCACAATACAACATCCAAAAAGATACAGACAAAGTAATATTTTGTGATCATTGCTCATCCATGACCGAAGCATTTAGAAGGCTAAATCTAAGAAATGAAGCTCTAATGCAAGAAAATGCCAAGCTCAAGGAAAGACTCCCAAAAATGGAAAGCAAAGGTAAGACTAAACAAGATGTACAAACTAGATATACAGGGTTTTCCATCCCAAATAAAAATGGATGAGATGGGTGTGCATTCCCCACTGAATGTTAAGAAATCCACCGTATCGGATGAAGATACAGCTAGTCCGGTACAAACGGTAGCCGGTAAAGACTTCTCAAACCCGTTGATGGCTGTCACTTTTCCAAAAAGTGAAAAGGATGAAGGTTCATCTTCCAGAAGAAGGTTACCTTTTTCATTTAACCACACTCTTAGACAAAAAATCAAAAAATCCCCAATAAATAAAGATCTAGAATCTCTTATAACCCAAACCATAGAAAAATTACTTAAACAACAACAAGAAAAAGATAAACATATAAACCCAAGTCCAATACAAAGCCCAAGACAAGATTCTGTTTCAAGCCCAAATAAGTCGGATAATATTTCAGACTCAATGCAATTTGCTCAAGACCCAAACGATGATGACTCTGGTATGAATTTTGATTCAATTGCATTACATAATTTAGATACTTGGTAAAAAAAATAATAATAAATTTATTATTATAGTTTTAATGAGGAATGCCTCTTTTGTCAAAAAAATGTGAGTCCCACTTTACTCACTACCATAGATGTGTGGAAAATTGTTGGGACGCGTGTTTACTTTAATAAATAAATATATATAGGTAAGAAATAAGTATTGACAGACAATACATCAAACAAAGGACTGATAATAATGCAGAAACAAGGAATCATTTCACGTGCGATGTGGCCCAATGTGTACCCGGCGGAGAAGATAAGATTCTTTTTCATTTTGAAGTCCGGAGTTTGAAGTCCATAAGTGCGTATATAAGAAGACATTATCAGAAGAATAAGGGGGAGAAGGCGAAGAAAACCACAACAAAAACACTCTCAAAAACCTCAAACAATTCCTCTTCAAAATTATCTTTGAAAGTTTGTGTCAAGAATATAGCAATAATTTCAGTTCTTTATTCTAAAGTTTGTTTTAAGTAAAAGTTTGGAAGCTTTTCGGGTTTCCTGAAAGGGAAACTTCACTCTATTCTAAATAATGTAAGTTTTCATATTTAAGTTTCTAGTAAACTTCCCATATATGTAAATTATGTGTGTTTATAAAATGTTAATTATTTGATAAACTTATGTAAATTTATGAATATCATCATGAATCTATATTACTTAGTATATGGTTAGTCTCTTAGCCTCTTAAAAGTATCGATGGATTAACCTGTAAATTCCTAGGACATTGTTAGTTTAAAATGTTCTTAAAGAAGAACTATGAATAACCAAATCCGGGGTGTGATTAAAGAAGATTACTTTAAGAACAAAAGCTAAGAGAAAGAGATGAACAGTAATAATAGATTCATGATTGGACAAAGTCCCAAAAAAAAAAGAAGGGAAGTTTAACTAAGAAAATAATGTGATAATTACATAATAGAACAAGAGAGTGAAGCAGTACTGAATAGGATTGTACAATTTAAAAGTTTAACGAATTTATTGAAATAACCATCCATATTTACAACTGAAATAACCCCCTATTATATATATAAACTAAGTAAATTATATATAAAATTTTGAATGCCTGTAACGAAGGAGAAATGGCTATAAAGGGATTAGTTAAATTAGAACAAAAAAAATCATATAATTGGTTAGTGTCTACAAAAATTAAGAGAAGGATAGAGGTATGAAATTTGGGCCTTTAGGGCCATTTTTCTGATACTAGACTTGCTGGACAAAACAAGCTTTTTAAGGCTTTTGGGCCTATTTCTCCTTCTATGTTTTTGTATATACTCATGTAAACCAGTGTATACAGACCGTATTTAGGTCCGTATTTTGACATATGATAATTTTTTTGATCAGCTCTGGCCTGTATTGTACCATCTATGTTATGACATTCTTTTGCAACCCGTAAATCATGTTTCTGTTTGTATATCAGTGTGTACAGCAGGTACATCGCCTATTTTCAGGCTATTCGAAGTCTGGAAAATCCAAATTTCAGCTATCTATTAATAGTCTTCCACCTGTGTTCAATTCAGTGGACTTGGCTGACTCGATGAAAAGTTGTTAGGCCTCTATGGTCTAAAGAGAAATGCAAAGGGTAGGAAGGAGTCCACAGGGACTCGAGTAAATTTCATGTTAACACAAATCAAAGAAAAGAGTTAACATATAATCCAATTAAGATTAAGGCAAGATGAATGAACTAGGAAGGTGCAAATTAATGAATAGTCTAAGAGAAAAACAAAGGCACAGGGATAACTAATATATTAAAAAGCAAAATTTAGCAGAGCATAACCATCACTAAAAAGCATCATGCTAATTAATGGTGCCTACACAAAATGGTTGAGAAGGAGTAGTAAACATAAGGACAACTATTATAGTTATCTTTGAATGACTACAGGAATACATAAACAAAAGGTAAAGGAAGAATTAGTTGACATATTTTGCATGCTTCCAGAATTCCTAAAGGGACAAGCTAGAATCAAACATAACTACATTAAGAGAGAACATACAATGGCAAATATATACCAATGGTAGACATCAATAGGCAAAAATTAATTCTAAGATAGTATCCTTGAGGGATAATACTATCAAACAGTGACACCAAATCATGACAAAAATCAAGCCGAAAAATTATTTATTAATTTGATTACGTTTCAATTCCGGTTAACAACAAAAAATGACACGTACTGATCTATTTTTTACTACAGTTGAAAGCCGAAAAGGATGAACCAAGGCGTCGATGAATAAGAATAAGAAAAATAGAACATTGCGTAATCTTGAAAGGAGAGAAATAAAATTTTTGGAAATAGACTCGGTGAAATCAAACTGGCGAGATAACATAAAGGAAACAACAACAATGATGTCCAATGTTCAAAACAGTGACAAATACAACACATAGCTCATAATGTCGACATCTCGATTATGCATTCAACTTGAGATGAAAGGGATGAAAATTATGACATTGAACACCAAACATTAGTAAAGGTTCATGCTAAACAATGGCCAAACTTAGACTTATATGATCACTTCGAAAGTTGGTCACAACCATATTATGAAAATCAAGACAATAAGACCAACAATGGTTTTGAACTCGACATCCCAAATATTGATACAGGCGCCTCTAAATCTTGCTCATATGTGAAAGACCAACATCTTAGATCATATAAAACGACCACAGTTTCAAAGCGATACGAACAGAGGGATAAGTAAAAAGAAATGCATTAGATTTTCATGGGAAAAAAAATATATTGTCTAACTTAGAAAATGAGACGAAGAGAATAACATCATACTTTCAACTATAACAAACAAAAACAACTGACCACTATGGACCTTCAAACAGATTTTATCCTTGATTAACAGTTAATAATGAATCAAAAACATTAATATAAGCAGCTCACACAATCAAGAGTCAAACGGGCAACATATTCGGAATAAAATAGGCTTGAAATGAAATGAGCATTACCTTTCAAAGTGCAGCAAAACTGGGACAGAAACGAGCAGAGATGGACAGCAATGACCTCCACCATGCAAATGACGACACAGACAACAGCCGAAAAAGGTTTCAAACCCAACGCATTAACAATAAGAGAACTCCCTTGCTTTTTCTTGAGGTGTATTTAGTGTGTACCGAAGTATTTTTTGCTCAAACTTTTTTTCTGCCATAGTAAAAAAAATCCCAGACTACAATTCTCCAATTCAAAAAAAAAAAAAAACCTCCCCCAAATTGAAGAAGAAGAGACTATATATAGGCAAAAATTAGGATTCGATTTTTGGGGGGGAAAGGGGTGAAAAAACCAATAAGACAAGGAACAAAAATTGAAATTCAAACTTCAAAACTTTCACCATTTTAGGCAAGATACCTTTTTCTGAAGGTTCGGACCATTCCAAAACGGGAAAGTAGGAACAAAAGTTTGAGATTCGATCTTAACGTCCTTGGGCGCGACATGAAGAAATATTATGCTACGAAGGACGATTCGCGTGACCTGCTGTTGCTTTTTCTACTGCGATGGTACGAGCTGAGGGAGACTTTGAAGAAGGAGATAAAAGCGACGCAGAGTGCGTACGCGCCTTGCTGAGCTGTGAACGTTTTCCATTAACTAGCTCTCGCGTTAGGTGCGTCTAGGCGTCGTCTCGCCGTCACACGCAATGTCGTTTGATCTGCTTCACATCGTGTACTTGCTATAGTTGTTGATGTTCTGGGTTTCTTTGTGGACTCCAAAATGGGCCAGGTCGGGGATATTTTCGGTAAAGACGAGATGGCTAGGCTAAATGGAAGTGGCAAAAGGGATTGGTTGTTGCTAACATTTGAATTGAAATTTGGCCTTTTTGGAATTGGGTTTGAAGGAGGAAAGGGCTTCTCAATCTTAATGAAATAAAATAGTTAACTTCGAATATGAACTAAATAATTCAAGATATAAAGTATTATATATCTAAATTAATTAATCAAATACTTACTTAAGTAAAATATTTTTTTGACGATTTTTGAATATTTATAAAATAACCAATTGCATAAATACATATCAAATATATATATCACTTAAAGTGACTAAAGCTGCTTTAAAAGACTTGACAATATTTTGAATTTTATAAAGTCCATTGTTTTAACTCGTTTGGAATATAAGAAGCTCGATGATTAATTTATATTGTGGAAGTACAAAATTGGGTGTCAATAATTGTCCCACATTTTACTTGAATTGATGCAAGAAATTCGAGAAAAATAAAATTGACGAAACCAATTTTGACCGACCACATATTCATTTTTTGAGATGGAAATTTGGTTTGGACTTAAGAATTATGGATGAACCCTGAAAATGCATTTCCTGCATACATCAGGCTATATGACAATTTAGGTCATCTGTAATTCGACATGCTTTATTTAACGTACGATTTTAAGAGAATTCAAAGGCCACCCCTACACCGAATTATGAAGGGATCGAAATGCTCGGGAATAAGATTTAAGAGCGAATATTGGAATACAATCGAGTTTTCAACATTGAGCCCACCAACTTATCCTTTGACACAGGGAATCAGACTACTTGTAGTTCGACTCTATGGGTGGAAAAAGAAATCTATTATGCTAGATAACCTTTTTTTCTATAAAAGTGACAAAAGAATCGAGTATGAAAAAGAGGCTTGTAACCTCTTACCCATGAATGTGGCATGCTTCACACCCATAATTAAGAACTTACATGGACATAATTTCCAAGGCTCTTGGTATATGTCACTCTGATTTGAAAGTTGCTTCTGGTGGATACCAAAATTTCTACATGCGAAACTTAAACCAGGAAACTCAAATAAAAACCCACATGCCTTCTGATAAGGGTGTTGTTTTATTGTGGTGGAAGTCACTCCTCTGCTCGCGTCCTAAGAGTTTGACCCTCCTCTTTGGATTATGTTCCAGTTCGCTACTAAAAAAAAGTTTCACCTTGTGCTGCACCATTTGTGACGTCGTCCGCACTTTTTTTGAGAATTTATCCTTCTGGATGCTCTCGACAGATACTGAAATAAAATTCATTAGTATTAAAAATGCAATTCAAATGGGAGATAGTGTTTTTTTACTGTTTTGACACTAAATTTCTCTCCTTTAATATTTGACGTCAACTCGATCATTTTGACACAAAGAAAATAAAGCTCATAGCTTATGTTTGCAATATAATCTTCAATGTACTCTTCATTCGATGTCGATATAATAAAAGGCTGATGTGATGTAATATGCTGACAATTCTTTGACGTCATATTTGATGGTCCTCGTCTTGTAATTTTTTGGCAAAGAAAATATGATGTAGTAGATATTGATCTTCTTATGATGAATAAATATTTCTTTTGAGATGCACGGTTTCCTTTTCTTGCAATGTATGACTCATTTCCTACGATGCATGAATTATTTCTCTTGCAATGCATGATTTCCTTTCCGCGATGAATGAGTCTATTTCTCTTTCAATGCCTGATTTCATTTCGTGATGCATGACATTTCCCACAATGCATGAATTTTTTCTCTTGCAATGCATGAATTCTTTCGGCAATGCATGACTTCTCTCCGCAATGCATGAATTCCTTATCTTGCGATGCATGACTTTCTTCTCTTGCAATGCATGATTTCTTTTTGCGATGCATGACATTTTTCGCGATGAATGAATTTCTTCTCTTGCGATGCATGACTTTTTTTCCGCAATACATGAATTCCTTCACTTGCAATGCATGACCTCTTCTTTGTGATGCATGAATCTCTTTCTCTTGATATGCATTACTTCTTTTTGCGATGCATGAATTCTTTTCGCAATGCATGACTTTTCCCTCAATGCATTAATATTTTTTTCTTGCAATGCATAACTTCTTTCCACGATGCATGACATTTTCCTCGCGATGTACGAAGATAAAGGTGACGCCTATCGATGCCAAGTGAAGATGATGTTTCACCAAATAACACATGTGATATACCTGGTATCTTTTGAGTGGCAGTATCATCTCAATAGACAATTTAAATAATAAAATAGAAAATAATGACTCTCGGAGTAGCGGTATCATCTCATTTGATAATACATCATAGATGACTCTTCAGGTGGTACCATCATCATGTAATGCAGATAAACATCCTTCAAGTATCTTTAGTCGATGAAAACTCGTAATATATTTTTCCTCTAGGTTGTTTCATCTTTCAACATAGTTGTAGGTTCATTAAAAACTTCATGTTGTAGTAATATCAATCAATAGTAATTAACACATGAACTAGGTCAATTGCATCATCATTATCCCAATTAATATCAATTCATAACCTAGGTTAGGGGAAATAGGGTTCATCAAGAATTAGATTCAATCATAACCATACATTATCCTAGTCAATCCATATGTATTAGAATAGATAAAAACAAGTTTAATAATCAATTCATTCTTCAATTCCCATCAATTCATGACCAAGATCTAAAATTTGGGAAATTGGGGAAGGGAACAGGATCAACATGAAATTGCATCAATTAAAATCAATTAATCAACAATCTATACTCAATTAGTCATATGAAAACATAATTTATCATCAATTTGAAGTTAAAAAGAAATCCCATTAGAATTGGAAAACCCCATAAGTTGGGTAATTTAGATTTCAACTTTGAAAGAACCTGTTGGGGAAAGGAATCCCAAGAGTGAAGAACACATACCTTAATAAAGATTAATCCAAGAAATTGATGTTAAACCCTAGAGAAATTGACCTTCTTCTTCAAATTTTGTTCCTTCTTCAATGGAATCGCGGAGAGAGAAAGTAGAGAGAAGTGAGTGATTTTGAGTTTTGTTTTGGGAATCGGGTTTGGGTGAGTGAAAAATGACTTCAAAATGATCCTTAGGATATATATAATCACCCCATAAATTATCCCAAATACCCCTTACTTAAATTTGGTCTTTTTGTGAAGTCTAAATGTCAAAAATACGATTTTATCGAATCTGAGAAGTGGCTCCGCGTCGCGGGGCCAACACACATTTTATTTTCAAAATAAATTTTGGGAAAGTGAGGTCCATGTGGGCTGCGCTTCGTGCAGCAGCCCATTGATTCTTGACTTTCGCAGGCTGCTTTGGCAGCCTATCCACCCATTTTGGGGTCCTCCTCCATGACCCTTCGGGTGGTCATTGGGTATCGTTATTGGACATTTAGACTATCTATACTACATTGTACCTAATCAAAGCCTTTTTACAATTTTTAGACTTCATTTGGCCCTCCGAAACCATCCCCAAATATCGCGACGTCAACTAATTCAACTAGGCTAGTTTCCGGGCGTCATAGACGTCCTTTGACGTCTCGACTCTAAAATTTCTCGGATGACTTCTAAGCATTATTTTAGGTCATAAAACAGTATCTAAACCTTTGGATACTCATGTTAGGCTCTAGATTATGTCTTCACTTTTTGAAGTGTTACACGCCACTGAGCTACGCCTTTGGTGTATGTTCAGGGGTTCAATATATATATATATATATATATATATGTATATGTATCTATATCTATAAATCCGCCCCTGTGTAGCACAGACCCAACATGTTATTTAGTTTGATTAAATACATAGTAAACATCAAAAATATTACAACTATACAACATCTAAAAAATTATATTCTACATTCATCATGAGTTCTTAATTACAATTACATAAACTTTAAATGTTGGATATCTAAACACATCTTTATAAGTTAATGTAAGTTTTTTTGTCCATCACTCTAAAGGTGTATCCTGCAAATGTAAATTATTAAAAGTCGTAGCTCAAAGACAACTACAAAAATTTACATGATTGAGAACATTGGGAAAGACATAATGAAACATATCTCAAATTGATTAAAAAGAAATTGACACTAATATCAATTAGTTAGCTACCTCTTTTTACGTGTGGTTGACTCTTCATCATCTTGCTATCATAGCTAAGGAAGAGGGGATTTATAATATCACTTAATCACCTCGACTGAGTTTTGTTCATTTTATATATTTTTTATCAGGTTTTGATGTGTTTTTATGAAACTTTATTAATATGACAAAGTAATTGAGATACACTTATCAATGACGCGTGAAAGACTTATATTTAATGTTAGCGGAAACGTGAAACTAAAGAACAAGGAAGAACAACAATATTTAACGTGGTTCGGATCAAAATGATCCTACGTCCACCAAAGAACAACTGCACCAATATTTATTTCACTATACAAAGAATATAAGTGAAATACTACAAGAGAGAGAACACAATGCCTTAGAAGATGAGAAGGCAAGTGAAAGGATGATTTGAAAATGAATTAAGAGCTACCTATTTATAGGAATAAATTCATCCTATTGATGTCATCCATGACATCGCTATGTGTCAAAATTGTCAAGGTTAAGATAGCAAACCATTATATGGTTTGCCTAACTTTCACCTACCAAGATACAATCTTTGACTTGTATTTCCTACTAATTATCTTCCTACCAAATATTCATATTAATTGATCTTCCATTTAGTTTGATTCCACAAGAACCAAAACCTACTCTTTCATTTAATCATTTCTATTTTATTTTATTTTGTTCTTCTCTGTTTCTCAAGCTATCACCTTCCACCATTTTCCAAACTTAAACTTCTTAAATAGATGTCATTTTTTTTAATTCAAATTACTTTTGAAGCTATAATTTTTTAACATTTGTTATATTTCTTTTCTAAAACTATCATTACCATTATCAAAAGATATTTCATAATTATTCTCTTTTTCTTTTCCTCTCGCTTCCCCTCTTTTCTTCCTATAAATGCGTACTAGAGTCATCAAATGGATAATGCAGTGTGATACAATAATTACTTATTTTTTCCATATTTAATGAACACAATATAACACCATTTAAGGCAAGGAGAAGGATAAAACAAAGAGATTCAATATATCCTTATCTATTTGTATTAGCTATGAACTATTTAACAAAAATTTTGAAGACCTTAGAGATAACTTCTGATCTCCAGTATTATCCTTAATGGAAAAAAAAATAGTGCAATTGAGCTTTGTTAATAATTTATTACTCTCTTCGTTTAAAAATTAATGATCATATTTTCATTTTAGTTTGTTTAAAAAAGAATAATCACTTTCCTTTTTTGCCAAAACTTTAACTTTAATTTTCCACGTGATATGTTTAAAATCACAGGATTAAAGGGTATTTTGGTACATTTGATATAACTTTAATTTAGAATCACAAGACTAAAAATCTTTTTTTTTTTAATTTCGCTCTAAATTAAACAAGATCATTTATTTTTAAACGGAGAGAGTAATGTTTTGGAAAGGAAATTTAAAATCAGTGAAATTATGACTTTCAGTGCTTACTATTAATAAATACATAATATAAGAGAAGTGTCTATTTTGGTGAATAAAATTTACATACAAATAATAATAATAATAATAAATTATGCTATTTATTTATTTATGATAAAGGTGGAAAAGAGAAGAAATAAAGAGTAAAGGAAGTCAATGATTTGGTCCCATAAATTCCAAATAACAGCATTGAGTACTTGTCTAGGAAAATCCTATTCATTGTTTTCTCTATGAATGAATGAATGAACTAAAAAAAAAATTCTAAACCCTAACAAGATTTTCATCGGTTATGGCTATGGAAGAATCGGCAATTGCCGTTGATTTACTCACCGATTCATCGGCTACATCTCTACCGTCTGATCACACAGACTCTTGTTCTTCACCTTCTGATCTCCCTTCCCCCACGGCCACCAGACTTAACGCCTTGGCGCCGGCATTCGTTCCGCGGTCGATTTCTCCTACGCCATCTTTGAACGATTTGAATCAGGCTGATTTTCATCCGCTTCCGAACCATTATGTATATGCTCCTCAGTTGCAGGTTCAGTATCCATCACCGTATTATGGCGGTGGTGGTGGTGGTGTAGCTGATGTAGATCATGCTAGTGCTAGTAAACGTGGAGGGTTAACTGATGAAGCTGCGCAAAAGATTGTTAATCAAGTAAGTAGAAATTTTTATGTATCTATTACTCCTGATGCTTAATCCAAAACTGGATTTGTTCTAAAAGATTAATTATTGAGTACTGGAATGTAGCCGCCTAGATGGAGTGGAGTGGTGGTAGTAGTAGTTCTTGCTGTATTACTGTTTATATATGTATATACATTTTTTTATATAACCGTGATTTGTGATCAACATACTTGACTAATTCCGCTTGATACTTGCCCCCGCCCATGATCAACTGATGAGATGTGAAGAAATCACAGTGTTTTTGTCTCTGTTGGAATTTGAACCTGAGACCTCATGGTTTTTATCCTATTTCAGGCCACACCCTTGGGTACTCTGTATTATTATTTAGGGATTGTTGCGTTTGTTTCTTTAGAGTGTGGGTTCTATGCAAATGATAAATTGAAATTTGGGTGTGTTTAAAATTGCATATGTAGTGTGGATTTTATGTATGATTGAGTAGAAGTGTGTGTTATTTGATTTATTTTTTCATAATTCCGTTGAGCTTATAGTACTAGCTGTAAGTAGATAACAAACTGATTCTGCAATGTGTATTCTTAACTTGCCAAATTCTTTTGAAGCTCCAAGATAGTGATGCTAGATTTTAGAAAAGTTTCTAAGTGTTTATGAAATTTTATAAGAGTAAGACACTGTGTGTTGTTCTTTGTGTATTATACTAATTCCGATGTGTTTCCATTGTCTGTAGGTGGAGTTCTATTTCAGTGATTTAAATTTGGCAACAACTGATCATTTAATAAAGCATATGCTCAAGGATCAGGAAGGTTATGGTAAGTTGTCCTTTAGCCATTGTTTTGGACGGTGGAAGGCGACAAGAGCAGCACTTCATTAATACAAAAAAATAATTCTATTTAATTGCATATATAAATAATTCAAATCTCAATAGCAATAACAAATTTGCAAATATTTCAATTTAAAAAATTGAAAATAGATAGTACATACTAGAAGTCTAGATCTTGAATAAGAAAAACTAAATAAAAGTCAAATCAATGAGAAAACAAATAGAGGTAAAAGTAGCTATGAAGTCTGAAGAAGGAGAAGGACAAAGAAGCAAAGGAAGGAGAAAAGAAGAAACATGTATTAGTTGGACCTTGGAGTCGTCGGAGAAGTCTGGCTGTTGCCGGAGAAGCCGGAGAAGTCGAGTCGAGTCGACTAGAAAACCCTAAAATTATCTTTTGACTTTTAAAACCCTAAATTTGTAGACTTTTCTTTAAGAAAATACACGGCTCTTGCCTTTATCGCCTTGCCACAAAGCTAATAGGCGATGAAGGGTTGCCTCGCCTCTCGCCACTGGCGACAATGCAATTGTCTTTCACAACACTGCCTTGACACTTGACTCTGTGTGATAAAGGGTGGGGTAGGTGGGTGGGGGTGAGGTCCTTAGTCTTTGTGCTTCGAGTCTCTCCTTGCTAATTTTTGTTTTATAGATATTTGAAGTATTTGTTTCTGATGAGATCTTTCTTAAGACAAGCTGGACTTCTTTTCTTTGCTACAGTACCAATATCTGTAGTTGCGTTGTTCAAGAAGATTAAAGCTCTTATACGTAATCATGCACAGCTTGCTCAAGTTCTGCGGAGCTCTACAAAGCTGGTGAGTTTTTCCTCTTCACCTTCCACCCCTTTCCCACCCAAAACTAGTCCCGCTGCCTATGTTAAGTATTCTTCTTTTGCAAATCACACACTTCCACCATGTAAGTTCCAGCGATAATTTCTCTCAAATACATAAGCTCTTTGTTAATTTACTCATTTTAATGTATTTCTTTATTTTCCTTTTGTCCTCTTAGGTTGTTAGTGAGGATGGAATGAAGGTTAAACGCAAAATTCCTTTGGCCGAAACCGACTTAAAAGAACTGCAAGTAGGTCTCTTTTTGTTTCTAACTGTTCTGATTTACAACAAACAAAGTTCGATAGAACATTTATTTCCACCTAGTAGTTGATATCAGATATTTATCAGTATTTTGTTGTTCTGGTTCCTGTTTGTCATTTTAAGTCTCGAATTGTGATTGCTGAAAATTTGCCTGAGGATCATTGCCATCAGAATCTCATGAAGATTTTCTCAGCAGTTGGAAGGTAAAATACTTTTTATGGTCTGTATGTTTTAGAAGATATCCTTAACATAAAATATCATCAACCTTTCTAACATTCTTGCTTACTGCATCAGCGTTAAAATGATACGCACCTGCTTACCTCAGTCTTCCAATGGTGGGGCATCTTCAGGATCTAGAACAGCAAAGTCAGATAGTACTCTTCACAGCAACAAGGTAGGTGGTGTGATTTACTTGCTGATTGTGTGGTATAATAGTTCATTCATCCGTGGGAACTCTTGAACTCAATGCCTTCGCCCAACTACAGCCAGAATTAACTTAAGAAATGGTTAATGTCATGTTCGAGTTGTTTATATTCTGTTTTTGGGAAATAAAGCTCGACTTTACTTGGTATAAAAGTATTCCTTTTCGAGAATCTGAATTGAATATCTGAATGCAGTTACACGCATTTGTGGAATACGAAACCGCCGAATTGGCTGAGAGGGCGGTAAGTTAATATAATGTTGTTTCTAGTAACACTTTCAATATCTCCGTCTCTGGCATCCTATATTTCTTTTGTGATCTTATGTTACAGGCTGTAGAGTTAAATGATGATAACTGGAGAAATGCTCTGGAAGTCCGATTACTTCTTAGAAGCTCAGTGAGTCTTGAACAGTCTTTCCCTTTTCTTACATCAATTAAGGAGCATATTATTCTGTTTATCATTTAGTGAAAGAAGAATGAGCATTCAGAACTGATGATTGATGTTAATGACATCATTTAGATACTCAAGACTACATATTTGTAGTCCAAGTTCGTTCTGAGTGCTTCTGATCCAGTTACCGAGATTTATTTGTCAATTATGCATCTAAAATAACTTCAAGGGATTGATTGTTCTGAAGCATTGGAATGAAAAGAAATAGATCGACAGGGAAACATTGCATTTCTAAGTCATCTTATTATGTTTTTATTCATTGTTTCTAGTCCATTCCTTGCCTTCCCATTCAGAAGCAGTTATTGCTGAAGAATTTCTATGGTTGGATACCAGTATCTCCCTTGGCAGTAGTAGGAGTAGCTTTTGGGATGTACCTGTTACCAGATCCAGTGGATCTTACCCAATTTTTTCACTTAACTAAAAGAAAGTTTCTTGACTAATGTTCCACTTGTGAAATAAGTTCAAATTAAGCCTTCTTGCCATAAATAAATGTATCTGGTTGTATTTGATTTTATGTTTTATTACTATCATGTGTGTAAGGATTCTGGTTGAACTTACAGGAAAAATCTGGTCAAGCTCAAGGGAAAAAAGCTGGTCATGATAGTGAAAACTTCAAGGGGGATGATGGTTCTGCATTAGAGGTCAACGAGAAGCTTAATGAAGAGTCACGCCACCATATTGATGCTAAATCCAATGAGCTTGCAGTAAGTGAATCTCCTTCTATTCCTAGCACAAGGGGACGTATCCAGTTAGTATTTAGTAACTGCACCACATAATCCTGCAGGGACTGGTTTATACAAGATTTATTCTGTGGTCGGTGCTTTCATTTTTATTTTACATCTACAGGAGGAGCATGGCAGTGATGGGCAGAGGCGTGGGCGTGGTCAGGGTCGGGGTCGGGGTAAGGGACAGGGTCAGAGACGTGGACGTCCGCAGTCTCATCAAAACAATCGTGGAGGTCATTTAGGAGCTCCCTTATCAAACGTGAATCGTGGAAGTAATGTGCGAAATTCCCTCTCAAATATCATCCGTGTTGGTGTAGGGAAGCCTGTTCTTGAGCAGTCAGCAGCAGCCAAGCAATCTTCTGTACCTCGTATGCCAGATGGTACTAAGGGATTCTCCATGGGCCGAGGCAAATCGACGCCTATTATAACTATGTGATAACTTCCTACTTCACTGAAATTGGTGTGAATGAGAGGGGATATATCTTGTTCGCATGATGAAATACGCTATGGTTGATTTGGCCGTTTGAGTCGTATAGGTTCAATCTATCTTGTGTTTTTTACTAAATCAAATGAACCTTGTATGAAAGAAGCACCAGAGATGTTTGGATGTAAAAATGCAAACAGTACAGGATTAACAAAAGCTTATATAGAAAAAAGTTGAGAATTATACAACTCTAGCTTTCTACAGCTTCAACTCTAGTCAATCAGGCAATATACATTGCTTCTTTAGGTCCCTTTTTTGGTACATCTTTAGGCCCGTGTACAAACTTAATGAGACATATTGCACTATAGCAATTGTACTACTTGCCAAGTGAGAATCTGTGGCCTAATAACCTAGCTCTTATAGAAAGAACATATTGACACCCAAATCAAGCCAAACAATTTGAAGACCACCCACCATGATGCATATGTGCATCAATATATGAGCCCAAGTGTATAAATATAGAGATAAAAGTACAAATTTCACTAGTTAAGGTCCTGATTATGTTCCATGTGTTGAAGGAAGCTGATGGAACGCGTCAAAGAAACAGGTTCGTGGAACAGGTTCGGTGAAGTTGTCTAGCGAGTTAGAGTGAGTTACACTAGGACTAGACTACTAAATCCTAATTTATGTACAAGTTTATACTTTGTACGACTAAAGCTAATGTAGTTGACTAAGATAAGGTGTAAATAATATATTTGTGTTGTATTAGGGTTCCTAGTGTAGCTAGTATTGGACTCTATGATTCCTAGTGTAGCTAGTATAGGACTATTCTCCTATATAAGTAGGATGTAACTCAATCATTAAAACATCAATACAATCCTTGATTCTTCACATATGCGTGAGAATTCTACACCATGATCATTGGAAATTCGCTTTCACATCATTTTTTCTTTGCTAGTTGCATGTATCTAGTACATTTAGATACGTGCATCTAGGATGCATAAGTATCATATTAGGTGTTATTTTGTTTTAGATACATTATATTCAAGCATGATTCGCATGTATACGGAATATCCAGATTCTCTCTCTTGCCTCTCTTCCTATGTATTTTTGTCAATGATACATATATCTAGTCTAGTATAAAAAAAAAGCACTAATACATTCATTATATATATATATATAGAGAGAGAGAGAGAGAGAGATTGGAGAGAGCGAGGGGATATCTATTTGACTTAAATCTGGTATGAAATTATTAAGGGCAACTTTCACATATAGCAAGCATAAAATTCATATTTGTATGCTATAGCATAGTTTGCATAATTGCACTCCATAACAAACATATAAATGTATAATTCACTATACATATACAATTGGAGCGAATTTTATAAAACGAAGTGTATAAAATGAGAATGAGAAAGAGAAAGAGACCTGGGCAGAGAATTGTGTAAAACGAAGTGTATAAAATGAATTGTATAATTATAAGTGTGTAGAACGATTATATACAATTTGAATTTTTATAAAATGAGAAAGAGAGAAAGACAAAAGAGACTTGGGCAAGGAATGTACAATTGAATCGAATTGTGTAAAACGAGAAAGAGAGAAATTATATACAATTTGAATTTGTATAAAACGAGAAAGAGAGAAAGACAAGAAAATGGGCAGGGGAGTATTTTTATTGTATAGTTATAAGTGTATAGGACGGAAATATATGTATTTGCATGTGTATACATAATTTTCTCTCGCTTTATACAAATGAACACACAATTTATACATTTTGTTTCTGTTTGTATAAGTGAGAGAGGTGAGGGTGGCGAGCGAGATTAGGGAGAGGGGAGAGGGGGGAACAAAAATATATGTATTTATACATTTTCCTCTTGCTTTATACAAATGAAAATAAATTTTATACACTCGTGTTTGTATAAAAGTGAGAGGAAGCGAGTGAGAGATGGAGAGAGAGAGGAGAGTGACGAGCGAGAGTTTGAGAGAGAGAAATGTTTGACAAACAGTTTGCTACGGAACACAATTAAATCAAAGGGTGGTTATAGCAATTAATTTGATTTATTAATTTGTCATTATATACAATTTTCTCAATTATTAATCAATAAGACAATATGTAATAATTTTTATAGAGTAGATTAGTGTATACCATAAGAATGTTTGTGTGCTTAGATTGTTTTTTCATAAATATTAGCTTTTAAGCGGTCATTTAACTCGTATCCTTTTTTGAGGGTTAAGACACTTATTTGGAAATAATTTTAGGCATACTTAATTGGAATTAAAATTTATTTTGACTTTAGATTGTTTTTATCTGAATAATGACCTTGTTAAGGCCAAATATTAAACATTTTTGTCTAGATTTGGTATGACTTATCAAGGTCAATTTAGAACATTCTCTACTGAAATTATGAACTTAGTAAAGTCAAATCCTATGAATTTCAAGTGGATTGTCTCTTTTGATCTTCTTCAACAAAAGTATTGTCCCTTTTGACATCTTACTTTTAAAAAATAGCTCACCTTATTTAATTGAAAAAGGGTTTGACGGATCTTAGAAATATTTTTATTATGATTATGTTAATTTTGATATTATTATTTTAACTTTTGGCAAAAACTATTTCCCTCGATACTAATTAATGATCCTGTATAACTTATTCCATACTAAATTTTATCCCAACACAATCTTTGTTCGTCCAGCATATCAATAAATCCCCAGAGGTGCTAATCAATCTTCTTGATCAATTTAAGAGAAAAGAGGATGCTTCTGTTGACAAAATAAATAAACTAGTAACTATGACTAATAAACCCTTTATCTTTGAGCTTTATAACGTGTGATATAATAATTTAGAGATAAAATTTAAATTAATTTTGATCCATATTGATATAAGGTAAATATTAATTTTAGAATTATTTTACTCCTATCATTTATATTAAAATAGTAAATTATTATTCTATACAAAAAGTAAAATAAAATAACCGCATTCGATATTTTGATTTATAATCTATCCTTATTTATTCAAACCCGCTAATACATATTCAAACATTAATAGAGAAGATCTCTTCTCGTAACAAATGCGCATGCTACAAAAAATGCAATATATTTCACTCTATATAACATTTATAGTTTCTTTGAGAGAGCTAGGTGTAATGATACATTCGAAATTGTATGAAAATAGACAAAATTATAAATTCAAATTTTAAAGATATTTAATAAAAATACAACAATTTAAAATAATATCAAATATTCAAACAAGTGTAGACTGCATGCCATCTCCAAATCAAAATGTACAACTACTAATTACTTAACTCTTACTAAGATTCCTTGTATAAATTTCCTAATAGTGATATGTACTTTGTCTTTCTTTGTGAGATTAATTTGAGATTGTATATAAATAATTTTAATAGGTATAACAAGTCCATAATTTCAACCCTAATTAATATTAACGAATTTAGAATTTTTAAAACAGGGGTGCTCCTCTAATAAAATTAGAAGGAAAAACAAGTATTCAATGAAAATCGATTCATAATCTTCTAGGAAAATATATTTTATTCACTCACCAATCAAATATGACAAAATAAGTCAAAAATCAATTCACTTTCTTTAAAAATAAATATTTTATTTTGAACTAAAAATTTCGAGTTCGACTCTTGAATATAAGAAAAATCACATTGAAAGTGCTACATCAAATGAACCCTACACTAAAAAAACCCAAAGATAGTCGGAGTTCTAATATGAAATTAAAAAAAAAAAACATAGGGTTGGCTACCATCTCATCTACTCCTCTTGTAGTCATTAATATCTCTTCCTCAGCTTTTTTTCCCCTCTGTTTAAACTTCAATCCCTTTCCTTTTTCTTCATTTTCATACAATTTGGTGAAAGCAATAAAATTCTCTTTACTTTGTGAACATCAGAGTAATGGCAACTACGGCATTTGTAGAATTCAGTGTTGTTGTTCGTCCTCAATCGAATTTCGTTAATACTTCATACTTGCAGCAGCTTCATAGTCATCGTCCCTTTTTATTCCTCAGCATTCCCAAATCAACTGCTGCTCTCTCATTCACTCAATCTCAAGGTTATTACTAGTTTTTTTAACTTAATTCCATTTTTGGGGTTGTTTAAGATTTGTGAAATTTGTTTGCTCAATTGATTAGGTTTTGGATGTGGAATTGAGAGACAACAGTGTGATCGTCGGGATTTTGTTCAAACATCAGCTGTTCGAGAGTTGGCTGGTTCTCTTATTTCTGCCCAAGGACATCGTTTTGCTATTGTGAGTGTGTTTATCCTGTTACCCTTTATTTGTTCTTCGTTACTTTCCCTCCGTTTCAATTTGTTTGTGTCTTTTTGACTTGCATGAAATTCAAGAATATAAAAAAGAAATTTTTGAATCATGTGCATGTAAGTACGTTACTCCCTCCGTCCACTACTAATTGTAATGTTGTACTTTTTTGAAAGTCACTTTGACTAACTTTTAGATTACATTAGTTCGATAATTTTTTTAAAAATAAAAAATAGATATTCAAAAACTATACGAAAAGTACTATAAATTGCATTTTTTTTTGGATATCAATACAATGAGTAGTGGACGGAGGGAGTATGTGAATAGTTGAAATTAAACTGTTGCCGAAAAAAAGGAATGTAACATTCTTTTTTAAATGGAAAAGAAAAAGAAGTAGGAATGGAGGGAGGATTGTCTATTGGTAAGGCTGCTTACAGTAGCAACTATGGATAAAAAAGCACCAAATTGGATGACTCAATTAGGGAGAGATGAAGTATAATCATGCTATTGGAGATGATATGTCCGGAGGCCGTTATTCACACCTTGCACATAGCTGGAGCTTAGTTCACCAAATTGACCTTTTTATTCCATATCTGATTTTCTTTGGTTACTCTCTCAATAGTTGCTTGCTTATTGTTACATGTTAGTAATCTCTTCGTATCTTTCTACCCTTCTATTTCTTCTTTGACTGTCCAAAAAAGATTAATGCTTTCCTGGATTTGGAAACTATTTAGTTCTTCCATTCTTATTCTACCATCATCATGACTCACAATGCAAACATAAATTCAGCTTTTTTTTTCGAGAAAAAGTTATCCTCGTTTGAAAGGATGTTGTGGTGATTGAAAATTGGATGGCAAATGAAATCGTTAGAACACAAAAGAAAGGATTAAAAATAAAAAAATAGATGAACTATGAGTTGGATATAAAATAAGTCCTCCATTGTTCCATTTTACGTGACACGCTTTCCTTTTTCGTATGTTTAACAAATGACCTATTCAATTTCTAACTTTCCAGTTTTAATCCTCGATATCCTGATTTTATTGCCACAAAAATTTCATGGATTGTCTTAATACCTCTAATCGTTTTCTTTTTTTTTTCAAACTCCATGACCAGTAAAACAGTTTAAATAAAATGAAACAGAGAAAAGTACTTTGTTAGTAAGGATATTCTGGCATTTTTATGTTTATTTAGCTTATGTGCAAAGGTCATCCTTTTTTACCTCAAACTCCGTGTCTCATCAACACTGCCGGACAAATTGGGTCTCAGGGAGTATTTTATTAATGTAAGGATCTTTAACAGAGAGAATCGATTATATCATAGGAAAAAGTATAGTTAATGTAGCTAAAAATTGGCATCCATTTATTCTTTAGAAAGGATTTCAAGATGTTGGTCATTTTGTCTCAAACATTTGGAATTTTATCTCTGTGCATGATATTAGCGTGTTTGGTTTGACTTGAAGTCATATTGCTGTTGATTTTGTTATAGATTCAAAATTTCAACTTCTGTTGGTTCTTTTCTGTATTATTGAAAATCGATTGCCCTTTGTGGTTCTAAAGGTGGTGGCACGTTTTAATGATCTGATCACCAAGAAGCTTTTGGAGGGAGCTTTGAACACATTCAAGAGTTACTCAGTTAGAGAAGAAGACATTGATGTATGTGTTCAACATTTATATCCATCTTTTTTTCTTGCTACTGTCTCAAAAGATTATATGATTAATTGATTATACCATCTAGACCGAGGCAACTGGTAGACAATAATTTCTTCATGAATTATATATCTATGTATTTTGGTCTTTCTTCTCTTTTATTTCTGGTCCATCACTTTTTTTGGAACCTTCTGATTATCTTTTCCTTCTATTTAAGGATTGAGGATGAAAGGAAGAAAGTCACTGGTTGAGCTCACGTTCAAGATTAATGCGTTAGATCAACAATTAAAACTACAGCAAATTCAAAGTGAATGGGAAAGAAAAACACTGATCACTTTGAATATGCCATTAACATTGGTGCATTTGAACATACACCCCCTCAGAAAAAGAAAGTTAATTTGTTGGTTCCATGAACTTTTTGTAGTAAATACTTCTTAAGATCCACTCTTCAGCATGTAAAAATTTTCCATGATGTGCCATGTTAGAGCATAAATATCAAACATTACTCATTTATAAAGACAAACACACATCATAATGGCATTTTTTGTTTTAGAATATGTTGTATCGTAGATTTGAGGCAGAGTTTAGGCATGATCAGTAGTGTGTTCCTTTTCAAGGCATCATTTGTCATTTTGTCTTTTCCTCATAATGTGTTCTGCGCAGGTTGTGTGGGTTCCTGGTAGTTTTGAAATTGGTGTTGTCGCTCAGCAACTTGGCAAGTCAAGAAAGTATCAATCAATATTGTGTATCGGTGCGGTGGTGAGCTTCCTTCTGATCTTGACTTTGTTTTGTGTACCTTTTGTTCTGTTCTTGCTTCCTTCAATTGTTTCTTTTGATGGTCCTTTTGGTTATACGACTATTAAAATATGAGGGTTGCGGATAGTTTTCTTATAGTTTTTCAGCTCTAGCTTATGTCTTACAGGACTATCAATTTTCATATTGAGGTTGATTCAAATGAATTACAGTGGTAAACCAATTTAGGATTGATTAGCACAGTAGTAAATGTGTCCTTTCTTCCTGATGAAAGGATCGTGCTTTGTTACAACCCTTACTTCGTCAATGAAAAAATTAATGGAAAATGTAACAAAACTCTATCAAGTATCAAGGATGACAGATTATAGGACTACTTTTGATACAACAACAACTGTGACGCCTAAGACTCAAAAAAGTTAGAAATACTTCTGATAGATAAGAAAAATAATATATGTAAGAAAGGTATTAAGATTAAATTCCTTATTGAAGTTTATGTTATTTTGATTCATCAAATTGATATTTTTTGTGGTTTTTGGGTCGTAATGATGTTGGAAGGGAAAAATCTATCAGAATCTGCTATATTTGAATGATATCATTTGTCTTGGTCAGTGTTTTCTGATTTATCTTTTTTTATAATGTATTATCTTTCTAGTCAAAAGGATTAGGCGTTCTAATTGAAAAAGATGGCGAGATAAAGCTAAGATCAGAATATCAGAACTAAGACCAACAGAGAAATACCTGCTATGTCAGTAGTTATTCCTACAGCTTAAACGATCCATCTTTCTGATTTCTATCTCTCATCTAAATCCTGACATGACTAATATTTTCCACAGGTGTCCGAAAGTGAATTTTGTTGCTTCTTGTTTTGTGTGGATTATCATCTTTTATTTTTCTCTTTTTCTGTGTGTTTTGTGACCAGTAGATTAGAGGTGATACCTCCCATTATGATGCTGTGGTTAATGCTGCCACGTCTGGAGTACTTTCCGCAGGTTTAAATTCAGGTAAGTCACCTATTTTTTGCATTGTCAGTTTTGCAGTATTTTCTAATTATATTTTTAAAACTTTGAGCATAATTTTTTGAAAGGTACAATTCTTGAGCATTATTAGCGCTTCCTGTGGTACGTTAATCTTCATGAGATATGGAAATGACATATCCTAGATATCATGTCCACTCACAACTGGTCCCTATCCTTATTATTGGTAGTTCCTTCACTCCTAGGTGATTAACTCTCTGTTACTCGGAGCATAATTTGAGTTTCTTATCCTTTCTTTTAAGATGGTTAACTTTGGGTGTCCGAGTAAGAGTTGGTAAGTCCGTGTGTATTTATTCTAATGCCATGTGTGTCAAACAGTGAGTTGTAGATTATTTTTCTTCCTCTGGTTTTAAAATTTGGGTCTATGAAAGAGTACCAATTTTTGTTCTTTATATGTATTGCTTAGTTTTAGTATGAAAAAAGGAATTGAGTATTTTATGAATTGTGGTAAGAGAAAAGAATGTCGTTAACTATTGGAGCGTGTTACCTGTTAAAAATCTAGGAATTTATGTATGACTGTACTTGTCAAGCGAAAAACCACATTGTTTAATTTACTTGTTCAGAATTGAGAACCATGTGATTCTTGGAAGTTTTGAATGTTATGTATTATTAAAGGCGTCGAACAACTTAACATTAAAATATGGTTCGTATTTCATGGTGTGAGATGTAATGTTTAAGTAATTGTATAACAATAGGGAGTTCTCTGAAAACTTTCTACTTGACCTCTAATACAGTGTATCTATTTTGTGTTACTGTGCTAGCAAGTTCTCATGTGTCAAAGCACAGGAATCTCACTTTACACATGAAAAATCAAAGACAAGAACGTAAATGGTTGAGTCATCTTAGAGTATTACCGTTTACCAATTGGTTAACTCCTGCACACTCAATTTCCTTCTTTTCTAATCCACTGCAGTACAAGTAGAAATGATACATCCGTACTTTTGTCACTCTTTGTTAATTATAAGAAGATTGCTCTTATAAGGACTATAATGCAATAGCCAGTTCTACATCTTTATCAAATCCTGTAATAACTACAGCTACTTTAAATTTATAAGCTATTCTATAGTCATTATTAGCTGCTGCCTTTTCAGTTTATTTTTGCATTAGCTAATGAAAATTATAATCTTCGTTATTTAATGAGTTGCAGGTACTCCTTGCATATTTGGTGTCCTGACATGTGATACCTTGGAACAGGTAATTTTGCTAAGCTATCTGTTCCTTTTTTTCACAAGCATGTTAGTAGGAGTATATTTATAGTAGCCACTAATTGTTAAAGTGATTTTGCAGTAATCTATTATACCTTTTATCTTTATTTCAAACTTCAATCAGACAAGTTAAATCCTGGACAAAATTATAAGAGATGACCTTTTACTAATGTTTCTCAACAAACATTTATAGCTTTAACTTTATCAACAGAAAAAATAGCTTTAAAGTAATATATCATAGCTTGGAGCTTCACCTTTAATCATTTCATTGTCACACCTATCTACTGTCTCGCTTATCCTTCTATACAAGTAGTCGTAGTATTCTCATATAGTTTCTTTTCCTTCAATTCCTGTTACTGTTTTTTATTATCGCATACTTTTTGTAGTTACTGTTCCTTTTCTTCAGAATGCTTTGTCATGCTTTCTTTAGTACTTTGTCGTGATTTCTTCACCTCTTTTATTTTCTTTTTGGTATGCTTTGATAAGTTATTCCTTTAGCAGAGGATCTAACAGACACAACCTCTCTACCTCCCAAGGTAGGAGGAGTAAGGTCTGTGCACTCTAGCCTCCCCAGCCCGCACTTGTGCGATTACACTGCATATGTCATTGTTGTTGATTGTCACACCTATGGACCAATAGATCTAGAAGACTACGTGGGACATGACTTAACCATCTTTCACTTTAGCCTCTATATGTGGTACTTTTACGGTTTTATGATCGGTAGGATATCATATTTCCAACTGTATCTAATATGCACCTTGTTTATCCAAGTAGCATAAATGTTTTGGGATAAAAAGAAGTTGAACAAACTTAAGTTCTGCTGCTATTAACTGTTAATTTCCGTGGATCACTACAATAATTTGCCGCCGCTTTTATCTGTACATATCTCTATACATTCTTCTTGGCTTGTCGGACTGCTGATTATGGCTGGCAAGGGAACCGGGAGGTGCCGGTTCTGGTACCGTTCCGTTACCGGTTCGGTTAATCCTGGTAAGGGCTGATATGTAGGGGGTCCGGGATAAGTAACGGGACGGAAACCAGAAATTACCGGTTCTTCTAGGTCGGGTATTTTTTTTTTTAAAAAAACAAAAACAAATGTGAATTAGCTGTTGTAGAGCCGTTGGGTAAGGCTGGCGACGGAACCGGAACCGGCACTACCGGACCGGAACCGATCGGGACCGGCACGGAATTGGGAACCACAAACCAGAACCATACCAGACCGGTAGTGGTAGTTCCAGATAATTGAAGAAGTACCTGTCCCGGTCCGCTAGTGAACCGGTATCGGACCAGTTTAGTGGGAGAAACGGCTAGTTTTTTTTTTTTAAAATTATTAAAAACAATTAATTATCAAAACTTTTATTATTTTAAAGTTAAAAATTGTACTTCTCAAACTTCTAAAGAGTGAAATTTAAAATTTTATAATTATAGTTTGAAAGTTTGAATTTGAGTTTAAAATTTTGATATTTTTAGTTTGAAAGTGTGAATTTAAATTTAAAATTTTATATTTATAGTTTGAAAGTTTGAATTTAAATTTAAAATTTTATATTCATAGTTTGAAATTTTGAATTTAAATTTTAAATTATATATTTATAGTTTGAAAGTTTGAAATATTACGAACTTTTAAACTTTAAAGTTTTACAAACTTCAAAGTTAAAAGTATAAAAGTTCAAATTTTTAACTTTAAAAGTTTGAATATTTAAAATCAAACTATAACTATAAAATTTTAAATTTCATACTTATAGAGTTCGAAAATTTAAAATTCGAACTTTGAGGTTATAAAAATTTAAATTTCAAACTTTAAAAGTTTAAATTTCACAACAATAAAAATTAAATTTAAAACAATAATAAAAAAGATTAAGGCGAATATCCTATACTTTTATTAGTATTAATTTAATAGTACAATTTGATCTATAAAAACATTAATAGAGTATTTAAAGATCTAATCTAGATAACCACCTTCTAGGAAGAGTTTTGTTTGAATTAGACCTCGAATTATCATACTCATACTAATAGACAGTTAGACATTTAAATTTAATAGTTTGTGTTACCAAGAGATCTTTTCTTAAATCATGTAACATTTCTCTAGTAACATGAGTAGGAATTGGTTGAATAGATAAATCCTCCATTGCTTCAATGCCGTCGTCACTATAATCTTGCATTATTTCATCAACGTCATTTTCAAATTTGGTTGGTAGTGGTTCACGACCTAAATTTCTTCTCTCGGCATTAATCCAATCTCTAAATAATACTGATATCTCCAAGCTATTTGCTGCTAATGAATGCCTATGTTCTCCAATCTGAAACCTTGTTGCACTAAAAACGTCTTCCGGGGGTTGTTTTTAGTGCAACAACGTTTCAAATTGGAGAGCATAGACATTCATTAGCAACAGACAACTTGGAGATATCGGTATTATTTAGAGATTGAATTGATGCCGAAAGAAGAAATTTAGGTTGTGAACCACTGTCAACCAAATTTGAAAATGACATCGATGAAATACTGCAAGATTATATTGACGACGGCATTGAAGCAATTGAGGATTTATCTATTCACCCTATTCTCAATCATGTTACTAGAGAAAATGTTACATGATTTGGGGTGTGTTTGGTACGAAGGAGTTTAAAAATAAAAATTTGAAGTTTAAAATATTTTTAAAAAGCAAAATTTTTTTTTTTTTGGGGGGGGGGGGCTGGCCGGTGGTGGGTGGGTGGGTGTCAGGGATCGGGTAAAAAAAATAAAATTTTATTTGAATTTTTTTTTAAATTGTTGTATTTCCCAAAAAAAAATTTAATTTAAAATTGTAGGAGAGTTTTGGAAAATGTTTTCCTTAATTTTTGAAGGGAAGTCATTTTACTTAATTTTGAGGAAAAATGAATTCATTTGGAAAAAAATTTCCAAAACTTTTGTCCCAACCAAACATGAAAAAATTGGAAAATGTTTTCCTTCATACCAAACACACTCTTAATAAAAGATCTCTATGGTAACACGAACTATTAAATTTAAATGTCTATTTAGTACAAATATTGATAATTCGAGGTCTAATTCAAACAAAAATCTTCCTAGAAGGAGGCTGTGTAGATTAGATCTTTTAATACTCTACTAAAAGTATAGGCTATTTGCGTTATTTTTTTTTATTATTGCCTTAAATTTAATTTTATTATTATTGTGAAATTTAAACTTTTACAGTTTTTAAAGTTTGAAATTTAAATTTTTGTAACCTCAAAGTTTGAAATTAAAAATTTTAAAGTGTAAAATTTAAACTTTTAATTATAGTTTGAATTTAAATTTTTAAATTTAAATTTTTATACTTTGAAAGTTTGCAAAACTTTAAAGTTTGTAAAATTCAAACTTTCAAACTATAAATGTAAAATTTTAAATTTCACACCTTAAAAGTTTGAAAAGTATAAATTTTTAACTTTAAACTAATAAAAGTTTTAATAATAATATTTTTTTTTAAAAAAACTAGCCGTTTCTCCCGCTAAACCGGTACCGGTTCGCTAACGGACCGGGACGGATACTTCTTCAAGTATCCGGAACTAGCGGTCCGGTACAGTTTCCCGGTTCCGTGCCGGTTCTGGTCAGTCCCAGTCAGGTAGTGCTGGTTCCGGTTCTGTCGCCAGCCTTACTGCTGATGATAACCCATCTATGTCTCCCCTCCCTGTATTATTCTCTCTATCTGGTTCTTATGCTGTCAACGGCAGTTGTTATGGTTTTTGGTAGTATATCATATGAAATAAATCCTATAATGTTGCAGGCTTTCGACCGTGTTGGTGGGAAGGCTGGGAATAAAGGTGCTGAAGCAGCATTGACAGCCGTAAGTTGTCTGTGTTGTGTGGCATTTGATCATATTGTCATTAACAAGTTATCAATCTTGTCTAATTTTTGCTAATTGCCTGCCTTGTTATATGATGCTTTCAAAGACAAAACTAATGCCCAGTTTAACAGGAAGCTAGCATGGATTAAAGTAAAATATCTAGTTAACAATTCTTTTAGTATCTTCTGTTCCATGCAGAACTTCAACTTTTAGGTCAGACTGATTTTTAAATTGATTTAGTTTGTGAAGGTGTTAGCTTTATATAATTGTTTGGTAAGTGTAGTTTGAAATTTTTTAAGTTCAATAGGAACTCACGATTTGTCCTAGCGATCAATGACGTGGAGTAAAAACCACAAAAGATTAACCCTCAAATCCTAGGGTTCAAATACTAGCAAGATACCAATAAGTCTTGCATAAGTAATGTCGTGTTTGGTGGCTGGAGGTAAATTATTCATGTATAGTATTAATTCGTGTTTGGTTTGCAATTTAGAAACCCACATAACTAATACATGTATAAGCTATGAGTGAATCCTATGTATTATCTTATGCAAGATAGAAGGTAGAATAACTCAACCCTACATAAAACAAATACATCTATTACTTATATCTGCATAATTCTAACCAGCTACTGAACAACCCCCAAGTGATTTCTTCCGATTTACCTATTGCCTTTGTGGGGCATAATTACCTAGTGTTGGTGGGAGGTGGAAGGTACATAGTGGGTAATTGAGGTGCTCCAAAGTTGGTCCGGATACCACCGTTGTCGATGTTTTAAAGTTGAGATAGCTTTGTTTTTCTTGGAATTGTTATTCTTCAGCTTGAAATTTGAACTTAATACTGTTTATGCTAATGTTTTCAGATTGAGATGGCATCTTTGTTTGAGCACCATCTGAAGCCATTACAGTAGGGAAATTAAAGACCTCTTTTTTTTTTCTTTTTTTTTTTTTGCTTCAGCTTTATTGTTGGAAGAAAGTTGTGTAGTAATTTGGCAATTGTGTTCTTTGAGGAATCAGAATTGCTCTAAATTGTTTGCAGGGATAACATTTGTGAACCAAACTGCAGT